GGTATATGAAGTTGGCATGTGTGAATTGCTGAAAAATATGACAGACAGATGAATGATGGTATTGAAAGAGGTATAACAAAATTAGTATAGTTTAGTTTTGAGGCTTTAGCTACAGTAATAAATGTAAGTCATGTAGTGGAAAGGCAAATGAGCTTTGTCCAATGACTCATGTAGCTTGTCTGGGTTGAATTGAGGGCAAGATTTGAACCTGCATCTATTTAGTCAGGAGTCAGGCACACTAACCAGTAAGTCACTGCAGCTCTCCAGCTATAACTGGAACCAGATAAAATGTACACATCAATTAAATGACCGAAATCACTTTAATGAGACAAATTCAGAAATGAACTTAAGGAAATCTTTACAACTGGATCAAAGTAAATCTCAGAAATACCTGAAACAGGACTTTAGTGATGGACCTACAAATAGTAATGGAAGGTATGAAAGTGAAACCCATTACTCTTCTGCAACCACCCTTAAGTCACTCATTAGATAATTGAAATTATGGTGGGTGATTGACCAGTTTAAATAAGATGGATGAATACATAATAACATTATCACACCTAGACATTAAGATTTGTCCAAGCTTGAGTCAGCATAGTCAGACAATCATGTCTATATAATACAAAATAAAAGAAAATATTTGTGTTTACTAGATTATTACCTAAGTCCAGTAAACTTTAAATTTGTATTTTCTATTTTGATAATATTTTGAAAAGATACATGCTGATGGAAAATGCATGTATTCAGTTATCTACAGAACAGAATGATATGTACCCCAGGTACAACATATACAACTGCAAACAGAAAATCTGAATATTTGGTCTAAAAATCTATACTTTTCATCTATATATAAGTTTTATTAGTTTGTTTTTGTTGAATATCATGTTTCTAATGGTCATTTGTTCTTAATTATATCACACTTATTAAAAATCATCAGCTGCATATTCCATGTATATAATTAATTGCTTGGAAGACATGGATGTATATGGAATTTATAGATGTCTAAATTCTCCTACCTGCTAATACAATGTAAACTTTCTTATTGTTCTCTTTGTCAGAATTTCTCAATCTTATAAAAACCATTTGATACACCTAAATACTTCATAAATTAGTCTAGATTGGGAGACAAGTTCTAAATATTAAGTTACGGGTATGGGATTATTATATTTGTAGGTACTCTAGCCTGCTTCCATTTAATAGTTTTAAAACTGAGAGCAATTTTATATCAAATACCACATATACTTTTAATAATTTCAAGCCTGTATCAGTCAGTTTTACCATGTTTTTAATACTCAAGTGTGTGCCTGCCTGAGGAAAGTTAACCCAAAGTGTGCATGGGGAGGAGGGTAATTGACAGTGTTGTGTATGTGTGTCTTTGTGTGTAAAAAAAAAGATCATATGGACAATAGCATGGTATCATTTGTGTAAAGGATAAAGACAACAAAAACTCACAAAGAAAAGTACAAAACTAGCTTTTAATTAGTGTACCTGCTTTTGACTCTAATAGAATCAGTGGCAAAGGGAATTACAGAACAGAGGTAAATATTACAAACAATAAACACAAAAGAAAACATTTACAAAATTTGACATGATCATTTTAATGGAAACATTGCATGTCTGCTGTCTCATAATGTAGTTGCACATCAGGGTCAGACAAGTTTTTATTTTTTATTTTCATGAAACAACACAAATTCTTTTCTTCAAACACATTTTGTGAGGGCAGATCTTGAGCTATGCTGTTTAAAGTTGTGTATGCAACAAGATTATTCTAGTAATGAAGAGAGAAAACTGTGCCAACTGGCAGCTAATTGGACAATGACAAAAGAGATGGATGTGCTGTGCTCATAAAAAACAGCAGCTAATTTGACAGTGACATTGAAGACTGGCACACTCCACTCATAAATTCTACAACTGGCACATTGTCAGAGTAATATTGACCCACTATCCTCAATTTTCACCAAAAGTCGAATTCAGAGACAGAAGGTAATAAACCTTGGAGTCTATTCTTGGGTACTTATCAAACTGAATACACAGCTTGAGGTAGGAGTTTATAACTTTTGACCCCTGACTTGTTTCCTCTCACATAAAAGAAAATACATTATATTTCATAGCTTCTTTGTATCAACAGCTACATCTGATAGAATGCAGTTCATGAAAGGGGTAAATTCTAGTAAGAATGTTTACTAAATTCTATAAATCAAATTCTAGTAGTCAGTGGTGATAATAAAGATAGGATTTAATGTCTAGATAACACATGAATCTCAGATGACCTAACATCACTCGTCTAGATGGCAATATATCAATGCCACAATTGCTGACCATTTCTGTCAATCATTTTGCTTTTTACTAATTTTAAAGATGTTAATACCATGGCTTTTACTGTCAAATATGAAAAATTCTTTGTGAGATATTCTAGAAACAAATTATATACTTTTACCTACATTTAATGATGATGAACTGAAAATTGACTGTGCTACAGACATGATAATATTCTCAATGATGTGTGAAATGACACTGATCCATGCACATAGCCTATAAACCTATACACTTCATAGTCTTCAAATGCTATTAACAACTGCAGAAACCTTAGTAACAGCCAGAAATGTGTTGTTAAACATGCTTTATTCTATTTTTGCAGAGCATCTCCATTGCTCCCCAGCTGAATCAAATATTTAGTGATAATGCACTTAACCAGCCAGAAGGAATCATTTATCTGTCAATACATTAATCCATAAGCAAATTTCACTGAAACAATTTCCATATTTTCAAGACAGACAAAAAATATTTTCAAAGAATCTGTGAACTTAAAAGTTTAGCACATGGTTATTGGCTAGGGGTACATATTTGGAGGGTCTTTTATACAGGGAGGTACTTTTACAATCAATATTAATTACAACACAAGTATGTCACAAACAGTTTCATCTCTTCTAAGAAAAGGAGAGTTATATATGATAGTGACAGATCTCTAACTACCCTGAATAACCCAAGCATGGACACTCATGCTACATGTATTTACACTACAGCAGAGCTGTGGGCTGAGTACAGTTTCATTATGTACAATATAATTTTCTGAATTGGAACTAATGAAACATTTTCTAGTAATAAATATTAACTATTTATTGTTAATTTCATATAACATCCATATATTAAATGTGATAATACCTAAAAACTATGCAACATTTAATGTTATTTTGTTTTGACTCCGCATGAAAACTGTGTACTTTGGATAACATGTCATGCCACAGTCCTCATTAACATATTTGTATTAATGCGCCACATATAAACAATGGCACGTGAACTATATTGCACAAGGGAAAAGTTCTTTCTTAATTTAAGGGATAGTATTAGGTGAGAAAAAAAATCCCAGTCATGGGGTTACATTATTTGTCTCCTCACAAGGCGAGCCTCATGGGGAGACATATAATGTAACCCCTTGACTGGGATTTCCTTGTCTCTGTCCAAACCCCAACACAGATTCTATATTGCTCAAGTTGTGATCAAACAAAATAATCATTCTCATTTTCTAATCTAAGTCTGATTAATCACATCTACTAGTGTAGAAAAGTCCTTCGTTAGTATGCCAACACTGTTTATAATAAAAGAAAAATGCTGGCTGAGCTTGTCCAAATCCGATCCATAGGAATTCTCAAGTGTGCAAAATCTGGTGATAGTCCAACAAAACTGATTCATCACAGTTAAAAGGAACATAAAACTTTTAACATTACAGTTAATCTACTATTTGGAAAGACACATATATTGATGTCACTATTTGCTGTGTTAAACTTATGCCAAGGTGAGCTAGACAACAAAATACTGCTTAGCTGAGCAGAATTGGTAAATATGCAAACTGGCCCATAAATCTCACCAAATTTCTTTTTGGAGAACAAAACTCAGTCAGACCTGAAATCCAAATCTTATAAGCAAAGGGTCTATTAATATTTTTAAAACAAGACTAAAATTTAGATTGCCATATATACTTGCTTATTAGATGAGTCCAACTGCCTCATTCAGTGAAAAGTATAAACTTGTATAATATATATGTATTCTGACTTAATTTTCCCATGGAGTTCCATTTAGGTATATATGTATATGGGTAATTGTAAATTTGTGTACAAATATCTTACTAGTTCTTGTTGGCAGCCAAATTTCATCATGGCTCTCAAAACGCATAATTTTTAAATTGTATTATATGTTGTTTAAGCATAATTTACTTTCATAGCAATTTTAAGATCAGCAATTAACACTAACTTGCAAGCATGTTTATTCAAAAATAAATTGCAACTAAATCAGTCTTGTCTACATTACTTTTCAGGGGGAAGCATTCAGTGAGTCTGCATGTATGAATTTGGAAACCTGTATGGGCCAACAAGTCAAGGACCATTATATTATTACATCTACTGTATATTCTTGCTCATAGTTTGAGTCTAACCACAAACTGCACTGACCCAGATTTGCTGTCACATAATGCCCCAACAGATCTGGGTCTGTGCAGTTTGTTACAAGTAATCCGTAGAGCAAACAGCATAGACCCTGATCTGCAGGCACAATATGCTATGGCAAATCGGGATCATTGTTTCTTGGCAGTTTGACTTAACTTATGAGCAAGTACATAAGGTACATATCCTGGATGGCTAAACAAAAAAAATATACAATTTAGAAATGAGTAAACAATCATGATTAGTAACTGCTTATATTCCACAGAAAAACAACCATCTTGATAGTTTCTAGATCAATGTTACATCTCGAAATGAGTGTGTGAGTGCGATTTAAATTTTTAATATAGCTTTAACAATTTCTCAGTCATATCACTATGATGTCTGCAGTGTGACAGTTTATAGTGATGTCTAGCACTAGGGCATCATGCATGCTGCATACATTTAGCATGATGTATGACCCAGGCACATTATCCTGACACCAGGATGACCAGTCCTAACACTAACCTCTTAATGCTGAGCACCAAGCGAGGCAGATGTTAGTATCATTTTTGTAAGTCTTTGGTATGACTTGGCCGGGGATTGAACCCACAACCTCCCGCATCCAAAGCGGATGCTCTAACCACTAGGCCACCAGAGTGGTATATATTGAAATGATAATCACTACCTAAATAATAGGTATCAAAATGCATAAAGGAAAGCATTACATTACTCTGATAAAACAATTATATATATATATATATATATATATATATATATATATATATATATATATATATATATATATATATATATATATATATTACAGTGTCTTAAAGGAGGATGGCAAAAGTTGGTTCAACAGGTCAAAAATCCTTACCTTGAGCAGGCTGTTTTAAGAAATTTCCTGCAAGACAAGTTGATCAATATAAAACAATTAGTTCAAAATTTCACTCAGAGAAAGAAGCAAAGAACTAGATCAGTACAATTTAAGACTAACCAGACACCATAAAAAGTTTGTTTTTTTTTCTGGTGAAAACCCAATGATTTCATATCTTTCCATTTTGGAAGAGAAACAAATAAAATTTTCATGGTAGCTGTTGTTGTTCCTGCATTATTTGTCATTTAGGACTAACTGGATATCATAAAAGTCTTTTTATAAACACCCATGTGGATATAACCAACAATTCAGTTGAAGTAGTGATAAAATGATTTTCATAATGGCCATTTTGGCAGCCATAATGGCAGTGCCTGCATTTGTCTTTAGGACTAACTATACATCACAAGAAGTCTTTCTAGTCCCACGTGCAATAGGTGTATTTGATTGAGCCATGTTGATATTTCTCCAAACTATAAATGATCTCTGTAAGAGCTTAATACTTCTGTCTTTGATCACTCAGCTAATAATATCTAGAAGCTTGCAACAACACTTGAGGCAACCCAATAACTGTATCAGTACTTTTGATCCATTATGAAGTAGATCTTTAGCTAAGATTAAAACAAACAACCTGCATAGGTCTTAATCATTTAGTCCATTTTTAACTAAGAAAAGTCAAACTGCCACCAACAAAGATCCTAATCTACATAATACCTTAAGGGGTTGTAAGTATGAACTGTACATTGGACTAGAAAGACTTCTAATTGGTCCCAAAGACAAATCCCTCAGTTGATTATGCATGAAATATAGATTTGCTGTTGTTTTCCCTTTGGGCTTAGCACAAGATAGGCTACACCTAGTGGCCAGTATAACAGGTGGAGGAAGAACACAGGAAAGCCCTGGTAAAAACCATCAACCCAAGGGAAGCTACTGGCAACTTTCCAACATAGATTTGCAAAAATACTTAACACTGAGTTTATGCCAATTTAAGTTTGAACAACTCATGTGGATGAATAAAACTTAGGGTAAAGAAGCTATTAAACTGTGATTATCCATGGTCAAAGTCAATCTAATAAGATAATATTTTGTTGGGATGGTTGCCTTAGCACCATTTTTCAGCATATGATAGGTTATACATAGTGGCCAGTATATCTGGTGAAGGAAGAACTAATGGGAAAACCCCAGAGCTGGCAGGCTTTCTCATAGACCCCTATAGGCTGAGCACATGACTAGAACTCACACAGGTGAGATGTCAGTGATCTATAAAGGGCTAGTACCTTAGGCCATGCAGCTACCTGGGACCTCCAATAAGAAAATAAGATCTATAGCTAAATTTCCAAAACTACATACCTTGACTAAGTTTTGGGAATGGTTTTTGCATGGAGCAAAAAATAAATCTACTGACATGTGATCAAAAGGTCCCTTGTCATGGTCACTTTCACATGAACCTTGAAATAACTTTAATTACATATCACATAACAGGTTTGGGTATTGCCAGAACATAATAGTATATTGCAATATATTGGGAACAGGACCTATGCATGGCAATACATGAAACTAAAATTTGGTTTTGTGCCCCCCCCCATAATTAATATATTTGCTGTTTAGAAAGCTTGTACGAAACTGACAGTGGGATGTACAGGGATAGATGGGCAGATACCATAACATTATACACATTCATTCTACCAGCATGTAGAAATTGATGTAGATCACAAATACAATGCTCTAATAATGATAGCAATTTTGAAAACATTCTAGGATAAAATGCTATCAAAAACTTATGCTATCAGCATATGACAAACAATAACATTAATGTTACCGGATTTACAAAATAACTTTGCTTGTACCTATTTGTCTTGACACAAATATACTTTTGCAAACATTAATTTATAGTTGCATATTTTTGACTTAGCATTTAATTTTAGAAAATTTAGTAACAGTGTTGTCATCACAATCTGAAAGCAGTTTGTGAGACAATAAGCACTTGTAGAAAAATTTGGTTACAACACACCACACTAAATTTTTAGGAAGTGGGGATTACAAGCTCAAAAAAAATCATATCCTGGGGAGGAAAGGGGGTAGAGAATTAATTTTCTTAGCATGCATACATTATTTAGTCTGTGTCATAACTTGAAAATCACTGAAAAACTCATCCAATACCCATATAAAAACTTTCTTAACATGAAAAGGCCCAGTCATTTATACAACCTACATTGTTCCTGAATCTCCCATTTGCACTGTGGACCATCCTTATGGGTGATAATTTTAAAACTACTGTAATTCTTTACACTATATATATATATGTCAAACTTTATTGAAAAGGTAGTCATTTTTATACCATCATTATACAGACAGGGCTGACCCATAGGTCTCTCCCTGCCCTCTGTCTCTGTGAAACATACATATCCTCACTCATTGGGTCATAAGATGGAAACCATTGTGAATCTCACTGTATAGTAGTAATACATATGCATTCTCAGTAGTATATGGTAGGTCAATCTCAGGCCCCTGCAGCCTTCACTATTCACCTAATAACGTGCAACAATTGCTGGAGTGATTTGTGTAGAGTGATTACTTTAATTGGATTATGAACCAGCCTAGCAGTTGACACAGGTACCAGGTACCTAGCAAGCTGTAAACTGATTATCTGAAAGGCTTAAAGTGAAGAATTTAAGGCCAGAAGCAGAATATTTATTGAGGTCTTATAACTAATAAAGGGAACAAAGGTGGTCCATGATGGCTTGTGAGCTTTTGATTAAAATGTAGCCTATCTTGGTTGAAGGTGAGATAAAAATGAGAGACCAACCAAAAAATTATTTCAGCAGAAACACCTGTGTAACTTTTTATCTTTTGTTTGGTTTAATTGTTATTGTTTTCAAAATGTTTTCAGAAGAATATTTAAGGCAAATCTGCTTTGGTCAATTCATGTTATAATTCCAAAATGTCCACTTCCTCACAATGCTAAAAATCATTGGTAAAAAATATTACAAGTTCATCAATGCTTGGAAATCAAAGTTTAGGCAAGTGCAGGCAAGTATCAATAGTCCTGAGCTTTGTGTGTTTCATGCAAAATGTATTTCAGGATAGACACCAGGATAGACACCAAACATATGGAGAAACAACAACATATAGGGGAAATTTGGATCAGAAATCTATTGACCTACTTACTAGTAGGGATGTATAAATAATTTTTACTGAAGGGGGTAACCTGGTAACCAGTATGCATTAGAACATGAAAGACATGTACAAATCTAGTTACCCTGATGTCAAATTTTCTTAAACATGTATCTCTTGCTGGACACCATTTTTTAAAAATTTTATAATCAACAGTGTGATCATGCAGATGCTTTGCATGAACAAATATGGGCAGTTTAAAGAGTGAGAGGTGCTGCTGTAAAGTTAGTCTGGTTCCCTAACTAATTTCACTAATGTCAATGAGTCAGATCAGCATACTTCTGATGATATATGATATATTGATAGTGTTTTTAAGAAATTATTATTGCATACTCATTAATTTTCAACTACAGTCCAGTATCTGGTTACCCAGGTGCCCATTGACAGCCCTACTTACTAGATGAGCACAACTACAAGTTACACAGACCCAGATTGCCCATTTCACAATGTGCTGGTAGATCTGGGTCTGTGCGGTATGTTAGGAATAATCAGGATACTCATACATGAGTATATACAGTTTTGCTACTTGTTAATAATCACAATGAATGTCATCAGTGGGCACCAGGCAGTAAACTTCTGAAGAAAACCTAAAATGCTTGTCAATTTTATAAAAAAAAAAATATTTGCAGTGAACTATGAGATATACAACTCTACCTTGTTTATTTAATAATTACAATTCCAGGACTTGTAATAATTAATTGTTATTATAACATTGCTATCATGATTTGAATCATTCTCAAATCTTTGCTGTTATATTATGATACAAAGAGAGTATATATTATAGAAAAATGCAACTGTTTTATTTCAATCATCCTTTAATATTTAAAATCTATGTTGATAAGAATCATACTGATTTTGAAGCCAATCTACTGAATTAATTGTTAAAATCTACTGATCTGATATCCTGGCTCTGTCACACCCAGTTTAAGATTAATCAGTTTATAGTTAATTCTGAACTACCATAATATTTCATTTTTATCTTCCTCATGTTATTCAATGAAAGCTCAATTAAATGCCAACCTTTTGCCTTATTTACTTGATCAAAATCCAGAAAATTTCAGTCAAGTTAAATTACTGTTTATCTACAATATATACTCACTTATAACTGCAAACTGCACAGACTCAAATCTGCAATTGCATAATGCACCAGCAGATATGGATCTGTGTAGCTTGTTAGGAATAATCAATGAACAACATAGACCCTGATATGTAGGTGCATTATGCTAAGGCAGATCTTGATCATTGTTGTTTGCAATCTGACTTGATTTATAAATGAGTATATATGGTGGATACAAAATCTGATCCATGTGTGCTGAGAGGAAAAGGTCAGTTAGTAATCATTTTCCCTAAATCGGATCCATAGAAATTCTCAAGTGTGCAGAGAGGGAAAGTTTAGTTAATGATCACTTTCCCCAAATCTGCTTCATAGGGAATCTCAGGTGTGCAGCGAAGGATAGGTCTGGTTAGTGATCATTTTCCCAAAAAATCTGATCCATAGAAAATCTCAAGTGTACAGAGAGGGTAGTGTCAATGTATGATTAGCTTCCCTAGTTCTAATAGATAACTTATTTTAGGTGGGTTTTTCAATTATGATAAGTGGTTTTGCTTCAT